GATGTCGATTCCTAATTCAACATTAATTATTCATTGTTGATGTTGAGGTAGACCAGATTAACTTCATCACAGAAGAGCTTCAAAATGTCCGCCGCCAGCGACAAGAAAATCGCAGAGGGTCTCGAACATCTTCGCTTGGCTGATAAATGGTTGGTTGAAATAGTTGAATAGCTTCCTTTTTGTCTGTTCGGTGATGTAGATTGTGCTGGCTGACAAGAAGATGTCCCTCTGTAATTACCAGTGTTCCCTCTTCTTGAATAGCTTCGCTGTTGGTCATGGCTATGTACCTTCCTAACTAAACTGGCTCATTGCAGTCGTCAGTCCACCTGCGTCAACTGCGTGCGCGTCTTCGTCTCAAACATTTCACCAACTACCAGTTGACATCTGAATTCTGTTGAATGTTTCTCCACAACTTCTCTTCTAAAAACAATGACCCCAAAATACTGACAGCTAGTCCCAATATTTGTAGTAAAATCTATGCTGGCAGCTAAAAGTGTATAGACACCAGACCATGACATCATGAAAATGGAAACACCAGGAAGCAGATAGAAAATGGATTAAAGGAGTCTCTGACAGTCTGTGCTTTCACAGCATTACCAAGCATCCTCTAGCTGAGCTATCGCGTGCTCTAGCTGAGCTATCGCGTGCTCTAGCTGAGCTATCGCGTGCTCTAGCTGAGCTATCGCGTGCTCTAGCTGAGCTATCGTGTGCTCTAGCTGAGCTATTGTGTGCTCTAGCTGAGCTATTGCGTGCTCTAGCTGAGCTATCGCGTGCTCTAGCTGAGCTATCGTGTGCTCTAGCTGAGCTATTGTGTGCTCTAGCTGAGCTATCGCATGCTCTAGCTGAGCTATCGTGTGCTCTAGCTGAGCTATTGTGTGCTCTAGCTGAGCTATCGCGTGCTCTAGCTGAGCTATTGTGTGCTCTAGCTGAGCTATCGCGTGCTCTAGCTGAGCTATCGTGTGCTCTAGCTGAGCTATCGTGTGCTCTAGCTGAGCTATCGCGTGCTCTAGCTGAGCTATCGCGTGCTCTAGCTGAGCTATCGTGTGCTCTAGCTGAGCTATCGTGTGCTCTAGCTGAGCTATCGCGTGCTCTAGCTGAGCTACCTATCAGCTGTTAAACTGTGAGGCTCAATATCAGAAAGCGGATATTAAAAAAAGAATAGAATCACACTGTTGTGCTTATGCTTAGGATTGACCATTCTCCTCCTAACTTCATCTCCATATTATGGTGGCCAAACAATTACCCTAACAGGGCCTCAGTCATATGTAAAATATGTAGTGCCTGACGAGGAACAAATCGTGGCAAAACTAGGATTGCCACCGAATAACGGGCCAATATTATCGAGGGCAAACAAATAACTCTGAATCGCAGTAAAATGTTAATTGCGGATTTGTTTCTGTGACTATGCCGCACTGCTGACAGTATCCCCACGCTGCTATGCGTGGTGCGGATGGGGGGCTAAACTAGATGGCTGGGACTCACGAGCAAATGAATTGCTTGTGAGTCCCAGTTTAGCCCCCCCGCCCCCCATCCACGCCGCACGTAGAGGCTTGGGGGATATGCTCGGCGATGAGTTTAATCGGAAGAACACTATCGCTAACCTGCATCGAAGCGCGTGGTCTCCCCGCTCTTATTGCGTGTATTGTTGCGTTTCTCTAAATTGTCAACGGACAGTAATCCTAGTTTTGCCACAATGTGTTCGTCGGAGGAAGTCCGCATTTAACACACGACTGAGGCCCTGTTAGGGTATTTGTTTGGCCGACATAATATATGGACGAAGTTCAGAGGAGAGCCGGATCGCCAGTACCCACATTATGCATGACTCATTTACATCTTCATACATATGATAATCTGTTTAAAATTTCACACATCTAAAATCACACCCAGTTTTCTGTCCTATGTGCTTCTAATCATTTCTGATACCCATCTTTTTCTGTGCCAAGCTGTCCCATTTTCTTTAAAAATCCCCTCCTACCTCTGCCGCTCTTCCCCACCACTTTACCTGTTGTCATTACGTTCTCATTTTCCTATTTTTTTCATGATGTGCCAGAAGAAAATGGATTGGCTTCTTATTTACTTACTCTTTTTCTTCTCTGCGTTTACCGACTATAAACTCTGGCAAAAAATAAAATCTTGGTTGTTCGTCCATTTCTGGACGTTTATTTTGTTCCAGCACTTGAGTTTTGCATGCACATCCATTTTACATGTCTGGCTTATTTGTGTGTGCACTGTTGGTTCCTCGCCTCTAAGGCAGATATGTGCACTTTGACTTTTAAGAAAACATTGATCCTATATAGGGAACCTGTTTCTAGGATGGCATATGTGCACTTCGAATTTGAAGAAAACTTTGATCCTATATAGTGAACCTGTTTTTATGGTGGCATATATGCACTTCGACTGAAGAAAACATTGATCCTATATAGGGAACCTGTTTCTAGGATGGCAGATGTGCACTTTGACTTTGAAGAAAACCTTGATCCTATATAGGAAACCTTTCTAGGATGAAATATGAGCACTCCGACTGAAGAAAACATTGATTCTATATAGTGAACATGTTTCTAGGACGGCAGTGGGGAAGAGGTGTAGATAAAGTTTTGTCTGGTGTGAAGCTCAGTTCTGGTGCACCACCAGATTCATCACTCCTGTATCCCACACTTACATTCACACACACTTACATTCACACACACTTACATTCACACACACTTACATGAGTGCACACACATACTTAAAAGTCACAACAGGTAGTATACTTCCTGAATGGGTAGAAAGCATTTGGAAATCCTACTTAACCACCCTCACCTGGATCTATACACCTGGCTATGATAGCTGAAAGGTAACGAACGAATGAACCAACTGGCAAGCAGTGCACCAGTGCATGCAGGGAGAAATGTGGACAGAGCAGATATCGTTAACCCTATATAGAGGAGGTTAGTGGATAATGAAAAAATCTCAAGACACTAACACTATTGCATGTCATGGGAGTAAAGCATGGTGATGCATGCTTATGATGCCTTTAAAGCAAAGACAGGAGACATTATGAACAGCTGCTTATGGAAAAAATCAGTAGAGAGTAGAGGTACCTTAGATTGGCTGCTGCATCAGTGGATTGAGCATGCATGGGAATGCCTTATGTGCAGTGATGTTGATTGTGAAAAAAAATCATGACTCAAACACGCTTACACACACACACTTACTTGCCCTCACTCACATTCACCACACTCAATCACACACAGTCACCAGCTCCCACCTTCTTTGCTCATTCGTTCATTTGTTCTGCCTTACATGCACTCACAGACAGATGTTGCAAATTTTAAAACAATGTTATGCTTTACTTTGAAAGCTGTGCATTCAAGATTTGAATAATAGTGGAATGTTCTCATTTAAATTTTCAGTTTAAAAACTTCTTTGTTCAAGTGGAAACCTGACCTAGATGGGGCTGCTGCCGAGTATCTGAAAGCAGGTGCATATTTATCATTTATATGTTAGTCATAAACATTATACTTATAAATTGTATACTTTGTTTGTTTTAAATCTAATGGATAAAAATTGTCTGGTTAATTGCCCATAAAGCTAATAGGTCCAGGGTATATTGCATCCTTTGGATATTTTCTGTGGGTTATACAGGTGTGTGGGAATGGAACAGGCAGATAGACTGGCCAGTTCTGCACCACTTGCTGATAAACTGATATTCAACAGCTAGATGTTGTCTAGGCCCTTTGGTAGTGAGGGAACAGTGCAGAGGCACAATTAGATTATCACATTCTGAAGAGAATGATGCAGTGGGAAGTAACCAGGGGATCTGGCCGACACTCGGCATCCAGAGAAAAGGCAAAACAAACATACAATCAGACTGCTACTGGTACCATTGGAGTTGGAACTCTTCTTTGGCTGCTGAAGATGATGACAGAGCACATATGAGAATGCTCAGAGTGCTGTGATATTGGTTCTTGAAGCTCAACTCTTCTTCAGCATTCCAAGCCCTTGAGGTTCATTGCTGCAGACATCACCCACCTCCATTTATCTCTCTTTGGACTTTCTCTTTCCATTTGGTGACACAAAGTATTTGTAGGCCTGTCTGGATATTATCTCTCTATCAGCTTAGATATCTGTTTTACAAAGGTGGGGTGTCAGCCAGACCTGGAGGACTAGAGTGTCTATCTTTGTCTGTTCTCTACCCTTTAACAAATCCAGCTTGTGAGTCTGCTAATAGCTACACTACCGCCGGCATAGCTCTCAGGGTCATTGAGAAAAACAAGCTCTCCCACCGCGGCAAGGTGGAGACACCTTCAGGGGAGTGATAGTGATAATCTAAGCAATTTAAATAATATAAGAAAGAGAGGCACATCAGGAACGGAATGAGAATGAAGGAAGAAATGATTGCAGAAAGGATGAGAGCTGAGCATCTGAGAAGAAACACACTAAACAGAAATGTTGACAACAGCGTTTCTGAAATCCCATGCAAAAATTGTAGAAGACTATTCCTAATGCTGGAAGATCTTGCTAGTCACACTCGGCATGGCCATGGGCTGTGAGTCCCATGCCTCCTCATTGCGCAACGTGAATGTATGGGAAGACAGAAAGGTGCCTTCTTCAGCAATCTCTGGTCATGCGCATAATCCACTGTGGGTCAAAAACTGGGATGTCTTTTCAAGGTCTTAGGTTTCCCCGAAGCTTAGTTGTGAGTTCTACTGGGTGTTGCCATATGTCGCTCCGCAGCTCCGCCAGGAGAGGATAGTCTTGCAGGACATGCTCTGGAGTCTGTTCAGCACAAAGGCACTGGACGAATGCTGTTTGGCTCATACCTAATTTATATGAGTGTTTATTGAGTCTGCAGTGTCCAGTACGTAAGCGAGAAAGGTGCCAATCAATAAGAAAGAGAAGGAGGAGAAAATGGAAGTTGAGGAAAATGATGATGATAATTATCCATGACTTTAGTTCACTTACTTTTTTACATGCTTGTTTCATTTGGAATCTAATCAGAGTACCTGACCTTGTTTCAGCCACAGCTTTCCGAAATGCAAAGGCTTTTGAACAGGCTAAAGAAACCTATGTAAAAATGGGGGATCTTCAGAAAGCCATGAATTCGTATCTTTTAAAAATTGTTCAAATTTGATTGTCAGTGTATGATTGTGTAATGATGACTAGAGGTGTCCAGTTGTACAGTATATTGTAAAGATGATTGTATAATATTGACTATAGGTGTATGTTTACAGAGTACTAACTAATGTAATACTGTAGAGACATGAAAGAATGATGATACAGAAGTGGTTTGAGCGATATGGTAGCAGTAGGTGTGAGTAAAGTAAAGATCCCTTTTCACGCCTTTAGGCATATTGAACATAGGGAAGAGTGCCCATATTTTTATAGACCATCGGCATTAGGTGGCTAATGGGGTCAGCATTACGCCGGTCATCTTTACTTCCACAGGACAGCCATCCTGGTACCCATTTTAGGCTGGGTCGACCTGCGACACCCCATACCATGATAGACAGTAGATGTGTAATTGTAAATTATTTGCTGAAGTTGTATGATTGCATTATTTATTGGTGATACTTTTTGAGCTTCTTCTTTCTTCTTTTGTCAATATCTGCCTATGCCACTAGGCATCACAGTTCATCAGATGATCAGCAGCCGAGCCTGGGGGAGTGGGGGGGGCTTATTCGCTTGATATGCCGTGATGTTATGAAGCTTCAACATCTTCAGTCCATCTTCTTCTTGGTCTTTCCCTGCCTCTTGGTGCTTCAGTTTTCAGATTGTACGCTCTTGGCTGCTGGTTTCATTCTCATTGGATGACCAAATCATTTAATCCTTTGTTTCTCAATAAATTTAATGATGTGTGTTGTTCCAACAGTTCTTGTGATCACGTCGTTTCTCACTCCATCTCTTCTTTTTTTTATTCACAGCCATTCTCAGACATCTCATCTCACAGGTGGTATGTTTTCTCTTATGTTCTTTTGTCAGTGTCCAAGTCTGACATTGGAAACCTAAAGTCGGTATCAATGTTGTATTTATAATTTGTCTTTAGAGGCTACTTTAAAATAAAGCAGACACAATGAAGGTTCTGTGGGATCAGTTGAATAGTGTATACAAAACAGAGAGTATATCCACATCTCTAGAGACTGATTCAGTGTTGAGGTAACAGTGAGGCTTTAAACACAGGGTGTCCCAGAAGTTTCCATACATAGGAACAAATACTGTTGCTTTGGAAACACATTTTGATGTGTGTCTTCAGCTGCTGAAGAACATGTATAACCACATCTGGACTTTACAATCACAGCTGGACTTTATAATCACAGCTGAACTTTATAACCACAGCTGAACTTTTTAATCACAGCTGGACTTTATAACCACAGCTGGACTTTATAACCACAGCTCAACTTTATAACCACAGCTGGACTTTATAACCACAGCTCAACTTTATAATCACAGCTGGACTTTATAACCACAGCTGGATTTTATAATCACAGCTGGACTTTATAATCACAGCTGGACTTTATAACCACAGCTGAACTTTATAATCACAGCTGGACATGATATCCTCTTGCAGTCCCATCATTTTCAGAATTATTTGTGTTGTAACCCAATTGGTGTGGATAAATTTGTATTGTTATGCAGTTGTATATCCTTAACTGCAGACAGCCCTTTCCATGCAGCAAAGTAAGTGGACATCTGTTTATCTTTCTTTTTACATTTCTTTTCATTGCATCTCTTCCCTCTTCCCTTCTTTCCAGACAGACTGACCAGTTCCGCACCATTGGTGGTGAACTGATGTTTGACAAGCTAGATGTTGTCAGGACCCTGTGGGAGCAAGTGAACAGAACGGAGACACAAAAAGATGATTATAGTCTGAGGAGAATGGCGCAGCGGGCAGTTATCAGGGGATCTTCCTGACGCTTGACACTCGGGGAAAAAGCCAGATGGAAATAGAATCAGAAAGTTACTGGTGCCATCGAAATTGGAACTCTTTGTTTGCTGCTGAAAATGGGGACGGAGCGCTTATGGGAATGTCTTGCTTTGTTTTCCATTTTTTTAAAAAAAGAATTATAAATCATTCTGTTTTATGCTATCTCTTTTTTCTTTCTTTCTGTCTTTCTTTTTTTTCTTCAAATTCCCTATTTTCAGTACACAACTATTGTGTTGTATTGATCTGTAATATAACACATACAAGCACATACAGCCTTCATACCCTGTTTCTTCCTTCTTCTTCTTTCAACCTGACCTTACTCACCTTACCCACGTTATTTACCTCACATTACCCACCCGTCCTAACCTTGCGATACCACACATTACCCACCATGCCTTAACCACACTACATTATCCACCCCACTTTATCACACATTACTCGCTCATCCTTACTCACTCCTTCTTTTCCATCCCAATTTACATTACCTACCTCCTCTTACATTATATAACAACATATTACAACACATTACCCACTTACCCATAGCAGCAATGAAACTCCCTTGTATTTCCAGAGCCTATGAGCAAGCTGGGCTGCTGTGTAAGGAGAACAAAGAGTACGACGAGGCTGTCCACTGGATGGAGCTGGCTGCCCTTATGTTTCAGGAGCATGGGACCCCAGATACTGCAGCTCTGTGTCTGGACAAGGCTGCAAAGTAAGTCTGGTGTCTGAGATGGTAAATCTGGTGTCTGAGGTGGTGAGTCTGGTGTCTGAGATAGTAAGTCTGGTGTCTAAGATAGTAAGTCTGGCGTCTGAGATTGTGTCTGATGTCTGAAATAAGTCTGATGTCTTAGATAATAAGTCTGGTGCCTGAGATGGTAATTCTAGTGTCTGAGATGGTAAGTCTGGTGTCTGAGATGCTAAGTCTGAGATGGTAAGTCTGATGTTTGGGATGGTAAGTCTGGTGTCTGTGATGGTAAGTCTAGTGTCTGTGATAGTAAATTAGGTGTCTGAGATAATGTCTGGTGTCTAAGATAGTAAGTCTGGTGTTTTGATGAAGTAAGCTGTATGTAAAACACTTTATGAGTATGGAGATAGCCAGGTCTGTCTTGTTTCCTGCAGAATGGTGGAACAAGAAAAGCCAGAGAAGGCCATCCATTTATATACCAAAGCCTGTGATGTTGCAGAAGTAAGTTGGCTTTGTTGTGTCATATTTCTTCTTCTGTTTATTTTATCTGGGCTGAAAAAGTTGCAGGACTTGATGTTACAGAAGCTGTGGCCTTGGGGCACCTTTTCATGGTGATGTGGGGCACCTTCTTGTGGTGGTGTGAGGCACCTAATGTTGATGTGGGGCACCTTCTCATGATGGTGTGGGGCACCTACTCATGGTGATGTGGGGCACCTTCTCATGGTGATGTGGGGCACCTACTCATGGTGATGTGGGGCACCTTCTCATGGTGATGTGGGGCACCTTCTCATGGTGATGTGGGGCACCTTCTCATGGTGATGTGAGGCACCTAATGTTGATGTGGGGCACCTTCTCATGATGGTGTGGGGCACCTACTCATGATGGTGTGGGGCACCTACTCATGGTGATGTGGGGCACCTTCTCATGGTGATGTGGGGCACCTTTTCATGGTGATGTGGGGCACCTACTCATGGTAGTGTGGGGCACCTTCTCATGGTGATGTGGGGCACCTACTCATGGTGATGTGGGGCACCTACTCATGGTGGTGTGGGGCACCTTCTCATGGTGGTGTGGGGCACCTACTCATGGTGCTGTAGGGCATCTACTCATGGTGCTGTGGGGCACCTTCTCATGGTGCTGTGGGGCACATACTCATAGTGCTGTGGGGCACCTACTCATGGTGGTGTGGGGCACCTACTCATGGTGCTGTGGGGCACCTACTTATGGTGCTGTGGGGAACCTACACATGGTGATGTGGGGCACCTAATGTTGATGTGGGGCACCTACTCATGGTGCTGTGGGGCACATACTCATAGTGCTGTGGGGCACCTACTCATGGTGGTGTGGGGCACCTACTCATGGTGCTGTGGGGCACCTACTTATGGTGCTGTGGGGAACCTACACATGGTGATGTGGGGCACCTAATGTTGATGTGGGGCACCTACTCATGGTGCTTTGGGGCACCTACTCATGGTGATGTGGGGTACCTACTCATGGTGGTGTGGGGCACCTTCTCATGGTGATGTGGGGCACCTTCTTGTGGTGGTGTGGGGCACCTACTCATGGTGATGTGGGGTACCTACTCATGGTGCTTTGGGGCACCTACTCATGGTGGTGTGGGGCACCTTCTCATGGTGATGTGGGGCACCTTCTTGTGGTGGTGTGGGGCACCTTCTCATGGTGCTGTGGGGCCTCTTCTCATGGTGCTGTGGGGCACCTTCTTGTGGTGGTGTGGGGCACCTATTCATTGTGCTGTGGGGCACCTTCTCATGGTGGTGTGGGGCACCTTCTCATGGTGGTGTGGGGCACCTTCTCATGGTGGTTTGGGGTACCTACTCATGGTGCTTTGGGGCACCTTCTTGTGGTGGTGTGGGGCACCTTCTTGTGGTGGTGTGGGGCACATTCTTGTGGTGGTGTGGGGCACCTATTCATGGTGCTGTGGGGCACCTTCTCATGGTGGTGTGGGGCACCTTCTCATGGTGGTGTGGGGCACCTTCTCATGGTGGTGTGGGGTACCTACTCATGGTGCTTTGGGGCACCTACTCATGGTGCTTTGTGGCACCTACTCATGGTGCTTCGGGGAACATATCTATGGTGCTTTGGGGCACCTACTCATGGTGCTTTGGGGCACCTACTCATGGTGATGTGGGGCACCTACTCATGGTGATGTGGGGCACCTACTCATGGTGGTGTGGGGCACCTACTCATGGTGGTGTGGGGCACCTACTCATGGTGGTGTGGGGTACCTTTTCATGGTGACGAGGGGCACCTACTCATGGTGGTGTGGGGCACTTTTTCACTCCCTCATGCTCTCATGATTATGGCTTTGGTTTTGGGCTCTTCTCTTAAGTTCATGATTACAAGTGTTCTGATTATCCTAATGGTTCATAGCTGGGGAAATAGAATATTGTGATTTGTGTTATACTCTCAGCCAAACGGTTGTTGAGAGATACTCAGCCTTGTCGGTTAAAACCCTGTACATAAATGTTGATTCTGTTGCTGTTAAACATATTTGGTATTTCGGTTCCTTTTGTTCTGTGCACACACCAGTTTGTAGTTGTAAGTTATTAGACCATTCTCACTCACATCTTGATGTAACTAGATTATTACTTATAATCTCAGATCTTATCTTCCTAACACTCTTTTAATCTGAGATCTCATTTTTCTCACACCTTTATGTAACCAGATCATTGCTCAAAATCTCAGATCTCATTTTCCTCATATCTCTTGTAGCAGAATTATTAATCATAATTTCAGGTCCCATTTTCCTCACATTATCATGTACCCAAATCATTTGTCTCTCATCTCTTGTTGCAAAATCATTAATCATAATCTCAGATCTCATTTTCCTCACACCCTCATGAAATTAAATAATTGATCTCTCAGATTTCATTTTCTTCACACCTTCATGTAACCAAATCATTGCTCATAATCTCAGATTTCATTTTCTTCACACCTTCATGTAACCAAATCATTGCTCATAATCTCAGATTTCATTTTCTTCACCCTTCATGTAACCAAATCATTGCTCATAATCTCAGATCTCATTTTCTTCACACCTTCATGTAACCAATTCATTGCTCATAATCTCAGATCTCATTTTCCTCACATCCTTGTGTAAATCGTTACTCATCCACAGATTGAAGGAAGACCTAGACAGAGTGCAGAGTACATTGGGAAAGCGGCAAGACTTCAGGTGAAGTGTTTCAAGTAAGTCAAAGTGTTGTGACAACTGCAATGATTTATGACAAGACTTCAGGTGAAGTGTTTCAAGTAAGTCAAAGTGTTGTGACAACTGCAATGATTTTATGGCAAGACTTCAGGTGAAGTGTTTCAAGTAAGTCAAAGGGTTGTGACAACTGCAATGATTTATGACAAGACTTCAGGTGAAGTGTTTCAAGTAAGTCAAAGTGTTGTGACAACTGCAATGATTTTATGGCAAGACTTCAGGTGAAGTGTTTCAAGTAAGTCAAAGGGTTGTGACGACTGCAATGATTTATGACAAGACTTTAGGTGAAGTGTTTCAAGTAAGTCAAAGTGTTGTGATGACTGCAATGATTTTATGGCAAGACTTCAGGTGAAGTGTTTCAAGTAAGTCAAAGGGTTGTGACAACTGCAATGATTTTATGGCAAGACTTCAGGTGAAGTGTTTCAAGTAAGTCAAAGGGTTGTGACAACTGCAATGATTTTATGGCAAGACTTCAGGTGAAGTGTTTCAAGTAAGTCAAAGGGTTGTGACAACTGCTGCAATGATTTATGACAAGACTTCAGGTGAAGTGTTTCAAGTAAGTCAAAGTGTTGTGATGATTGCAATGATTTATGGCAAGACTTCAGGTGAAGTGTTTCAAGTATGTCAAAGTGTTGTGACAACTACAATGATTTATGACAAGACTTCAGGTGAAGTGTTTCAAGTAAGTCAAAGTGTTGTGACGACTGCAATGATTTATGACAAGACTTCAGGTGAAGTGTTTCAAGTAAGTCAAAGTGTTGTGATGATTGCAATGATTTATGACAAGACTTCAGGTGAAGTGTTTCAAGTAAGTCAAAGGGTTGTGACAACTGCAATGATTTATGACAAGACTTCAGGTGAAGTGTTTCAAGTAAGTCAAAGTGTTGTGATGATTGCAATGATTTATGGCAAGACTTCAGGTGAAGTGTTTCAAGTATGTCAAAGTGTTGTGACGACTGCAATGATTTATGGCAAGAGCGATAGAGGAAGACAACGAGAAGAGATTCTTGATTTTTTTTTCATGAATTGGAAAGGTGTCAGCTTATGAATGCTGCTATTGATTGTAAGATGTAAAGAATCATAAATTACCAAGCCAGTCATTATTACTGGTGGATAGACAGGCTGACTTTTAGTTTGCGCAATTTATTTACTACTAAAGTTGGCTGTAGCATTTACCTCCATATGGAGACTGAAGGTAAGTAGTTTCATCGCCCAGGTACTGAGCTGAGTGTATGGCACCACACTGTGAGCTGCCTATTTAATTTAGAATTTATTTTTGACCATGTTGAACGTTTTGTGTTAATCCAAAAAATAGTGACATCATCATGATGAACTGTAATTCTAGTTTTGGACTGTTTGTGTTGGCACTTCTGACAGCGGCCTTATGCATTTAATGCATATGTATGCTATTGGTTTTGCAGAAACTGCAATCTTTTTCAGTTTTTTTTTTGTCACAATGAAAAGTGATGGGCATTCCAAGTCTTTTCGCTAGTGTTATGTAGAAGTGGTTTTGTGCCGATTTTTTTTCTTATGAAATACCATTATTATCAGTCAGAACTGTTTTTCTGCAGTACATTTTAATAATGCAGACACAACCAATACATTGCACAGTTTATTGCCAGGTATCTTTCAGAGTATCTTGTCATCTGAAACATCACCTCTAACTTTCAACAGTGCAAGGGATGCACCTGATGAGATACAGCGAAATATGCCTGGCAATAAATTGTGCAATATATTGTTTGTGTCTGCATTATTTAAATCACCATCATTATTATTGTCACTACTTTCACCATAATTACGATTACTGTCGCCCTCTGTCACATTTACCACTGTTTAACTCAGTGTTTGCCAGAGTGGGGTCCATGCACCCTGGGGGGCAATTTCGATGTTAAGGGGGACAGTTTGATTGTTAAGGGGGGCAGCTTGATTGTTTAGGAGGGCAGTTTGATTGTTAAGGGGTGCAGTTTGATTTTTAAGGGGGGAAGTTTGATTGTTGAGGGGGGCAGTTTGATTTTTAAGGGGGGCAGTTTGATTGTGGGGGGGGGGCAGTTTGATTGTTAAGGGGGGCAGTTTGATTGTTAAGGGGGTCAGTTTGATTGTTAAGGGGGGCAGTTCGAAAATAGACTCGTCCAGAGTTTTAAGTTACAAAAGGGGGATACACACATTTTAGAAAGGCTGGGCATTGCACACAAAAACTTGGGAACCACTGATTTAACTTTGACTTTATTGTCCCCACTGATATCCCCAGCAACCAGGTCTGCCTCATCTGTGTTGTCACACCTACTCCCCAGGTACGACGATGCCATCAAATCCCTGAATCAAGAAATCAAGTACTGGCTCGAGGCAGAGAACTATGTATACATCAGAAAGGTAGCCATGGGAGTTATCCTTCTTCATCTGACAGGGGAAGACTATGTGGCAGCCGATTTGTTCTTTAGAAATTGTTTAAAGTAAGTTTTTAGAGAAGTTATTTTTTTCATCTGACATGGAAAGGGCTTAAGCTTTGTTACTTATAAATTGTTTACAGTAAGTTATTTTTTTTTCATTTGACAGGCAGAAGCTGCGGCTTTCAATCTCTTGTTTAGAAATTGTTTACAGTAAGTTATCTTTCTTCATCTGACAGGCAGAAGCTGCAGCTTTCGATCTGTTGTTTGGAAATTGTTTACAGTAAGTTATCTTTCTTCATCTTACAGGCAGAAGCTGCGGTTTCGATCTGTTTAGAAATTGTTAACAGTAAGTTATCTTTCTTTATCTGACAGGCAGAAGCTGCGGCTTTCAATCTATGGTTTAGAAATTGTTTACAGTAAGTTATCTTTGTTCATCTTACAGGCAGAAGCTGAGGTTTCGATCTGTTGTTTAGAAATTGTTAACAGTAAGTTATCTTTCTTTATCTGACAGGCAGAAGCTGCAGCTTTCGATCTGTTGTTTATAAATATTTACAGTATTATTTGCGGGAGTGGGGGGGGGGGGGGGGGGGAAACGTTATATTCCTTTATCTCACAAATGAAGTTACTGCCAGCTAAACTTGTTCTTTAAAAATTTTTTATAATACAGATCTCTCACATGCATACACGCACATTCTTGCAAGTACATACATACATGCATGTACGTGCATGCACACTGACACCACACACGTGCACATGTACAGACCGCACATGTACACGCATACACACATGCACACAACACACATGCACCACATACACAAGCACCCACACGGCTTCAACTTGTTTCCTGATATTTTCATCCCTTATTCTGTCTCCCTTTGTTACTTTAGGCAGTCACCGATCGTAGTCCAGTTTTGTTGCTATAATAGTGTCCCTCTCTTGGCCTTTCTGTGTAATTTGTTGTAAAAGATGGATCCTTGTCTACACCTTAAAGATTGCCATTGCCAGTTGTCCAAGAAAAATTCCAAATTTGATCCTCTTTCAGCCGCCCGGAGGCCTGCTATATCGAAGAAGGGTCCTTTGCTGTCTTATATGGTTTCCTTTTATTTGTGGTGTGTAGACACACCTGATATTATTGTTGTTTGCTTCCTTGCTGTGCTGCGTTGTTTGCGGTTTTGGGTTCTGGTGTACAACCTTAAAGATATTTAGTATGAGGTGCTAGCTTCAGATAGTTAGAGACTGGTGGGTATTCAATGAGGTCACTAACAACTCTTCTCCTATTTCTTAGTGTTAACAACTCTTCTCCTATTTCTTAGTGTTAACAACTCTTCTCCTATTTCTTAGTGTTGACTGGCTTTAAACTCTTGTGGAAAGTTCTGGTTTATCCACTTTTGGACTTATGTCTTGTTCCAGAACTTGAGATTTATGTGTTTCTTTGTCGGCCTCTAGACTTGTGTAGTACACTCTAGATGCTGGCTGATTTTGTTCCATTCTGGTCATCTGCTCATCTGGTCAGAATGGGACAAAATCAGCCAGCAGCTAGAGCCTATTATGAGAACAACAGACTACAAGATAAGGGACAGAATGAACGAATGAACAAACAAACTTTATTTTTGACAAAGAACAAGATGGGTAGAGGGAGTAAAAGAGACACTAAAGAAACACAAAATGACATTAAAACAATCTTTACAACTAGCAAAAGACAGGAAACTATATCTAATTCATCTCTGCGACACTTTACGGCACAACCAGTAAAGCAAAAGAAGCGCATTAATTCCTAAATAGGTTCATATTTTATTTTTCACATTGAAAACACCGTAGCTACCCTTAGTTTGGATAATAGTTGCATTATAATGTTTCTTCTTCAGAATTCCAAGCCCTTTTGGTTCATTGCAGCTGATATCCTTCCACTCTATTCATCTCTGTGACTGACCTTCATTGAGCTTCTCTTTCCAATTGGCGACTCCAAGTATTTGTAGGTCTACCTATCTCTCCATTGTCTTCTTGGTCTGCTTCATGGCCTACGTCCATTTGCTTTTTTTTTTGTTATCTGCCACTCCCAACCGTTTTAATTTATTAGCTTTCATGATGACAGTGATCATTGGAAATTTGTTGTTTGTTTGTTTGTTTTAGTATCCAGAAGCCATGAGTTGTTAACCCTTAGGCTTGGTGTTATGGATATCGCAACCTTTCGGCCTTGATTCCATTGTAAATACCGTAAATCTGGGAGAAATGTGACTTTTCTGCCTACCCCCGGGAGTGAACCCGGACCACAAGAAGTTCGTCACCCGGTCACCGCGCAGTCCGGTTTAGCCAACTACGCTAGAGAGCCGGGCTCATTGGAAATTTAAACAGATTTTGAATTTCATTGTTGTTTCTTGCTCTTTATTCTCTGCCGTTTGCATTGTCGATGACTCCAAAGATTGTCTAAAACAAAATGTGATAAGATTTTCATCTCTTTTAGTTGTGCACTAGGTGTTAGAGTCAAATAAGACAGCTCGTCTTGCGTTATATAATAATAATATACTTTGTTCTTGAAAATATTACAAGTTTAAAAAAAATTTTTTTTAGCTACCCTGAATTTGGAACTAGCGAAGAAGCTGGTGCCCTAGAGGATTTGTTACGTGCATACGATGACTGCGACGAAGAGGCTGGCCATGCGGTTGTAGTGAAACCGCTTTTCAAGTTTTTAGATAACGCAGTAAGTAGCTAAATGAGAAGTTGAGGTGTTCGCTTGTGCAGGAAACCATTGTGGTACAGTAGCTAGCGAGCTTATCTACTCCTCCGGTAGTCATAGATTTAAATCTCTAGCAACTGAATTTTTAAAATTGACCTGGCCTTCAGGGTCAACTCAGCATAAAATGAGTTTTGTATTATTCAGCATGAATAAATAAATCAGGAATCGACATTAAAGCATTCTGGACTAGCGACTACAGTTTCGGAAATTTGCTATCTTTTCGACAATTTCCGTTACCATAGAAACCGTTTAAAACTTGTTTCGGAAATGTCGGCTGGGGTTTCGGGATGGGTCCTAATCTCTCATGAAATTTTGCCATTGGTGTGATTTTCACCCACTCTAAATAGCTGAAAACTGCGGGAAGGAACCCGATTAACAGCGCATGTCTACGACAGCCGGACATTCTCTGTTTTTCTGTTAGTCTATCAGTTTGATTGAAAATAGCGGTAAATTCGAGGTTGGCTTTAGGCTTAAACATTACCAGTTGTGGTAATGCTAGTTACAATTGAATTCTCCGTCCAATTTTACATTTGCATATTAAATTTTTTTTCCCGACTCTGGCTGTTTAGATTTACAGTGACATTTTTTAGGCAATCGCATGCGGCTGAGTGAGCTGAGTCTCACTGCCTGCCATCTTGTCCAATGACAGTCCAATGTCAACATAGCCGATACAGAACTGCGCAGTAGGTTGCGCAGTGAAAAACTTCTTGTTTCTGGGACGCAAGTTTTAGCGGCTGTTTCTTACATCTCATCTCCACAAAAACCTACATATCTCAGCTCAGAAATGACATACAAGCCTAAATGAGGTACCATTGGAAAGAGATTGTTTACAGCTATCTAACTGTGCTGTTTTATTGGTGTAGAGGGCATTTTAAAAATTTGACTGAAGTACCTATCTGGACATTCCCTGCATGCTCCGCCCCCTTCAAGAGTAGCCATAGAAGAATTGACATGCTAATAGTCCCAGTTGCAACCTTATTGAAAGTCCGCCTCTATTTCTCCCTCAATGTTAAATATCTTCCAGAATCTCTCTACTCACCCACAGATGTCAGTACAGAACCCGCATCCATGCCCTGAGGTATATCCAGTGTAATGGTGTGGGTCCCATCCTTTTACAAGCTTATAAGCACTCAATGATGTAGTCACTATCATGCCGGCAGCCTTTACTTCCCAGAATGTCATTCTCCCGTACCCATTTTCAGTTGTTGTCCTGGGCGTATAAGTTGTTTTAAATGTTCTGCCTCAGCAGTGGTTTGTAGCTGTGACAACAGGCAAATACGTTATCCCATGCTGCTGTCCATATCTCTGTGTCTGTCAGATCTTTGTGTCTGTCTGTCTGATCCATATGTCTATCTGATTTAACTGCCTGTCTTTCTGTCTGATTTGTGTGTCTGTCTGATCTATCTGTCTGTATATCTGACCAATCTATCTGATCTATCTGTCTGTCCGAAGTATTATCCCTTTATCTGTTTGTGTCCGTCTTTGTAACTGCTTGTTTAAATAGATTTATGACAGATGTTACTGATTAACTGATTGTCTATCCATCTGTCTGTTCGTCTTCTATAATTATATGTCTATCTCTGTAAGTCTGATTTTCTGTGTGTTTTTATCTGGGGGTTTTTCTGTTAGTCTAACTACCTGCCTGTATTTATCTATCTGTCTGTCTTTCTAATCTGTCTGTCTTTCTGTCTGTCTTTCTAATCTATCTATCTGTGCATGTGTTTGTCTGTCAGCCCATAACAGTATCATGGGTTCGTTGAATTAATGTTCACTGTTTGATGAGGTTTTTCAGAATTGCAGGACTTAAATTTTTTTATCTCTGAGCTCCACCTTGTCTGCCAGATTTTGGATCCAGATCTTTCTTGGCATGCTCAAATTCTCTTCCCTTGTACCGAGCCCTTCCCCCCCCCCCCCTATAAAATCCGTAATATATAACATTTTCTTTCTTCTGCTTTCACCTTATAAGTGTGGTTGGCCCATTGTGTTGCGGTTTACAGCTGGGCTGCAATATCTGCACCTTTCAGCCCAACGCATCCATTTTCAGCAAATCCGTAATTAGTAATCTTTTATGACCTGGGGGAAGGAGGCTGTTCTCTTTTCTCCCCCAAAAGGGGACCCCTTGAACCCATATTGGTATCTCTTATGTAACTTTAAACTGAAACTTTAAAGAGACAAAACCTATACCAAAAGACCATGTCCTATTAAGAGTGACAGGTACAAGACAAACATTTGACTAATTCCTGGTCTTATCCTACAGTTTGCCAGGTTGGCTCGAGATTTAAAATTCCCAGGTGGCATCTCAACATCGCGGTCCGCGGCCACGACAAGCACTTACAGCCAAGGTGGTGACGAGGACGGCAGAGAGGAAAACGCAAAAGGACGGGGATCAAGACGAGGAGGATGAACTACCCTCAGAACTTTGTTGAGCTGTTTACAACAAGGAAGACATCTTGTTCTTTGCTGTTGCATTCTTCTGAGTTACTTTTCCATTCTTAGAATATAGTCATTTTATAATGTGTATTTTTAAAATGATTGATAGCATCTTCATCTCTATTTTATGCTGTCAGTGTCAAACATGGACAGTGATTTGGGCGCTAGACAGAAAATAATTACCTGTGAAATGTGCCATCTCCGTAAGGTCACTGACAGTACAAGAAGGGACATTGTTACGAATACCAGCATTAGAGAGAAAGCTCGAATAAGACTGTGTCTAAATTATATTGACAGATAAAGAATGAAATGGTTCGGCCATCTGGTGATAATGGCACCATGAGACTATTTGAAGTTTTTTTTTTTTTTTTTTGGCAGCAGAACATCTGGGAGGAAGGCGAGGGAAAGACCTAGAAAGTGATGGATATATGTTGCAGTTAAAGCCTGCCAAAAGAGGCACAAATCCAACACGAAAGCCATTTGAGAAGAGCATGGTAAATCACGACACTAGGCTACAATCTTGTATCAGTGAGACCAAGCCCAAAAATGAATTTAAATAAAAATCTTTTTTGATGACTGGAAAGATTGGTAAAGAAAAATAAAGCAAGGTGAAGAGATAAATGCCCAGATGGCTGGGCTGTATCAATGGGGCGAAAAAAAGAACACTGATCTGATCCGTGATTATGATGATCGTATGCAACGGCAAAACACGACCGCCTATATTTATCGGCAGGGTCCCTGTTGATTTTACTTTTTCTGTGATCCTGTAATTTGTTAATGAAAACTCTCCTTCTTTTTCGTTTGACTAATATGTTTTGTTTTAAAGCACGTTGTTTGTGCCTATTTGTGGCAGAGCTGCAAAATGTTTACCTTTGGGCAACACATCTGACTTCCTCATGCATTGTTTTTAACCACATTAATAAACAAATTACCCCAGCGCTCTTTAGAAAACTTGAAGGTAGGTGAAAATGAATTTTCTTCCATACCAATTAGTTGATTTTGTCTTCTTTCACCCTTAGAAGGGTAGTTGTCTTGGTGCAGTTTACAGCCTGGCTGCATTATTTACGCCTTTGAGCCCAACACATTTCGATTTCAGCAAATGCCTAATTAGTCACCTATTAGGACATGCTTGTTTGGGGGCAGTGGGTCAAAGGAAGCACCCCCCCCCCCCCCATAAGCCCCCCCCCCCCCCCCCCCCCCCCCCCCCCCCGCCGCGCCCCCCCCAATATACCAGTCCTTTTTTTTTTTAGAACGAACGAACGAACGAACAAACTTTATTTTCAAAGGGATTGGGCACGCAGGCCCGTCTGACATTCGGCCCTTCTAAGTAGATGACTTACCTGTTATCAATAAATATAAAAAGTCATGCCCCACACATCGTGTGTACGCCATCATACACTCCAACTTCAAAGGAAGCACCCCTTACATGGCACACACGCATTCCTATAATACAACATGTATACATGCACGCCATGCATACACCAGATCCATGACATTAAAGACACCAACATATGCCACAAAACCACACTTTAACACGTACTATACATACCACACACAGCAGCATATTCCATTTTACCACACAGAACTTTATCTTTTACATTTTATCTTTATATTGTATGTATTCTACTAAAATGACACTCCTGTAATATGCATTATTATCATTCTGAATTTGAAATGTCATGTTATATTTATTGTTTTGTTCTTTGGTCAGGATGTTACTTTTGACAGGGTGTGATGTTGAGTTTGGACAGATATTTTCATCATTCAGATGCATTAGTTTGTTTCGTAATTATTGTTTCATCTGTCAATTTCTGTTTTGTTATTTTTCATTTTATTCTTGCATGTCAGTTTCTTCTCTTTTGTTGTTTTTTTCTTCTTCATATTCACTGGTTGTAAACTCTGCTGGTATTTTCTGGTAGTTCGTCCCGGTCTGAAGTTAAGGCTTGCTCCAGAATCTTAGCTTTATGTGCACATATGTTTTACAGATCTGGCTTACTTGTATGCAGACTGTTTGTTCCTTGCTTATCAGGCAGATGTACTCCAGCTTTAAAGGAAACGGCCCTAATTAGTCAAATTTTACAACACAGCTGCTGTGAGGCAGTAGGTCCGATTGCCCTCCACTCCCTCTCTCCCCCCCACTTCTAACTCCAGAGTTTGTGACATTGAAACCTTCAGTTGTAAGTGACCGAGTGACGTCAACCCCACCAGGAGCACATGGTGAGGGATGAACACCCGGTGACACAAAGTGTCACTATTTGGGTGAGAATTGCTGGGCACAAGTCTCATAATCCCTGTTTAACCGTTTATTTAGGGCCCCCGACGACAATCGGGTGGGACTTTAAAATGAACCCCCCACCCCCCCCCCCCCCCCCCCCCCCCCCCCCCCCCCCCCCCCCCCCCAACCCCCCCAAAAAATGTGTCACATATTGGGGCAGATGTATTTGAAAGTTACGCCTGTTAGTATTTTATCATGCAAGAAGCAGCTGGTCGAGTGGTTAAGCACGCTAGGCTCTCATTCAGGAGACCATCCTTGGGAAATTGATGGTTTTTCTGTTAGGTGCAAAAATAAAATCTTAACCTGCACACTTTGTAGTGATTGAACTTGCCGTGTAGCCTCTAAATGCTTAGGGTCATGACCTCCCCCATCCCCTGCCGCCCTAAAAGGTAGTACATACAGAGAGTAAAGTTACACCTTATAATTGTAACACCGGGAGCCGCTGTGGTGTAGCAGCTAGACACTTGTCTGGGGATCAGAAGGTCATGGGTTCAAATCCAAACGAGCTGGACTTTTTTCTTTCTTAAAAAATGACTTCGGCTCCCAGGTCAACCCAGCCCTAAATCGGTACGAGGTAAAACCCGGTTGATCACATCACACAAACGCGTCAATTGGTCTATAAAATATAGGTATAGCCCTATATACCAAATGTGCCTGAAGGAGGCAAAGAAGTTGCTTTATTTACTCTACTTTTAATTATAACATAATTTCTTGTTGACCTCTAACTTCACAGAAGCAGCCCACCTGACAGTCTGATCTGAGCATATGGGAAAAAGAAAAAGAAGATGAGAGTATTCTCCACTGCAATGTAGGTGCACAATCAGTGTGCACCAAGTCGTTCTCCCCCATATGTTTCACCTCATACTTGAGTTCTCTTTGTTTCTTTTATTTTCATGCCTTCTTTTCACCCTGTGGGTTCCTGTGCAAAGACATTGGTTATATTGTTATAAGGTTTTCTCAGCATGTGTTCTATCCAACATCAGCATCTTTTCCTCAACTCTTAATTCACTAAATTTGTTCGGTTCTCTCCCAGAGCTCCACTTTGGTGATTTTATCATACCACTGGATTATTTATATTCTTCTGGTGAGGGTTCCCGGGTCACATTGTAGGGCAAAAAAGTACCACTGTCTCCCTAACAAGCATGTTGTGTAAGTAAACTAATTAAGTTTGTTTTGTTAGAAGGTGGAGTGCATCTGGCTGAGAGGCAAGGAACCAACAGTCTGCATAGAGATAAATAAAATGGATGCACATGCAAAACTCAAGTTCTGGAACAAGAGTAAAATCCAAAAGTGGACACAGCCAGAACTTTCTGACCCAGTTTACAGCCGGTGAATGTAAAAACTGTGCAGGCACCAACTAATGAAAGTGTATAGTTTATTAGTCATTGTTTTAGCTCTCCATGTTTCTGCTCCAGACTATGGCACTAAATTGACATTAGAGTTAAATATTTTAAGTTTATTAGTTTTAATTTTCCTTGCTTGCACAGGTTTCCTGTTGCTGTAAAACTCCTCTTGTCTTTTGTATTAGTGTGTTACCAAGGTCCAAAGGGTAACAAAGAAAAGTAACACTGTGATCTGCCATGCATGTCATAGATCAGGATTATTCATGTGTCAGCCCATGGGCCTAATCTGGCCCAGAGGGGCTAGCTAGTGTCCCGCTGATCATTGATAGTTGTAGTGTATTAATTATCTTTCTACGCTGGAACTCAGGCCACTGGCCAATGACGATCCCCGTTTTCAATATTTTGGCCCCTGGGTAAACTTAGTTGAATTGCCGAGCCGTAAATGGTGACTGAGGAGGGTTGGCAGTGATTTAGCTACCTCATTCTATAGAAAATGTTAGCTGCAAAATCTGGCCGGTCATGAACAAAGGGTTTTGTGTGAGCTGACTGAGGGTCTATTCTCCATTGGAAGATAAAAGGCAGACGGAGGAGCAGTGTGGATGTCATCACTGTTACCTATTGGTAACATCAGTTTTGATTTGTAAATATGTCTTTGTAGGAAAATGAATGTGCAATAAACTACTTTTGTGAAATTCCATTTCATGCTGCTTTCTCATTTTCATTTTCTGTTTGTTTTAGTTTCCATTTGTTGTATATGGCTCTGAAACTTGGAACACAATAAAAGAGATGAAGCCTCATTAGAAAATTTTTTCAAACAGTCTTACGATGAATCTTTGGACCCATTAATGATGCAAACAGTGGGTAATGGAGAGTGAGAAGCAACAACAAAATTCATAATCTGTTTAAATCACCATTGATAACTGGCATCATGAGGGCTGAAACATGTATTGAGAGAATGTCAGATGACAGAGGAAAAAACTGTCTATACAAGAGAGCTGAATGGTTGTAGACCATGAGGCAGACTAAGAAGATGGTGGGAGATAATGTCCAAACAACTAGAAAGGGAAGGCTAATCACAGAGATGATTGGAAGCGGGTGATATCTACAGCAATGAATTTTAAGGGCTCAGAACGCTAAAGACTGTTTTATTTTTCACTTGAAATCATAAAATCTACTGTCACAAAGTTATGCATTGTTCCTGTAGCAACATACACATGTGGATCACAGACTACTTTTGAAATCACATCTTGATCCTCTTGTACCTTGCGGTGTTAGGTGAAGTATAATTTGAGGGAAAGAGCCTATTTCTGGGCTTCATAAATGGGGATTTCCAGAGACTGTATTATTCCCTCTGTC